CCCGACGCTGGCAAACCGGGAACCGGTCCAAGTGCTATAATAGTCTTACAGAGTCCCCTGAGCAGCCAACCCATGATCATCTCCAACCTTGAACCTGGCCTGGATGTGAACCAAGGCCAACGGCTCCCCATCCCAGGCCGAGAAAGACACGAAGAACCAAGGTCACTGGTCCCATCCTCTCCCATCACAAGCTGCCAGGTCAAATAACCACCTCTCAAACTCTCATTTAAAACCAGAAAGGGGCATGTACCCCCACCGCTCTTATTGCAAAAGCTACTGCAGATGCAACTCCTCGGGGATTTGGAAACCTTACTTGCTCTTCAAAGCCTGATTGTAACTGTTCATTCTCTAGGCGAACAGCAGCTTAAGTAATTCCTGTCTCTTTCTTCCTCTCCTCTTGGCTTTTATGCAATGACTACATTCTCTCACAGCCTCTCTTTGCAAAAGAAAGTAACTCCAGCTCACTTACAGAAGCTGTAAGGCCTACAGAAAATAAAGGAGCTTACATACTGGTGTGTGCTGGAGACAAGAGGCAATAACCGCTCTCTATGAACAGCAATGGTTTCGAAGGGACTGTGCCTCTAAAGACTTAGGCGCAGATTCCATCTCTTCTTGCTTTGTGCTTCCCCAGGCTTGTCCCGCTCCCATTGCTCCTAACTCCCCGTGGGGAAGCACAAGGCACAGGTCAGGCATGGACCACCAGCTCACCTCCTCCAGTGCCCACTTGTTCTAATGTGATGATACAGGATTTCAGGCTCAGGCTTTGCCTGCTTCTGTAGACGGAAAGAGCTGGAATGAGAACTTTTAAAAACATACATAAAACCCAAATTCAAATGGATACTTTCCCTTTGGGCACCTGCACTCACCAGCAATCACTGGACCCACACAGCCTTCTTTACCCGCATATCATAGTACGCACCTGCTACCAGTTACACTTAGGGAATAAGCAGGCTCTAAAGGAGTGGAACCAATTTAACCTCCTGCAGGTGCAGAATGAGCTCCCATCACCCAAAGAAGATGGATGCTGTACCAATAATCAGAAATGAATTTCACATGCTGGCCATCACTCAATAAATTGACTCTCCCCAGCTTTCCAAAAATGCAGCACCCTTTGCAGAGCAGGGAAGTTTTAACCCACGTAATGACATCAGTAGTTACATTAGTATAAATGCAGTGTAAGCAAAAAATAGGGCTTGCATCGCATGTTTTACCCCGACTTAGCACATGTATGCTACAGGCCAGCAAAAGAATGTCCTAATGTACATAGTTATCCCAGTGCCTTCCCTCCCATCGCTGCCACAAAGCCTGGTTTGTACAGGCTTGGCACCACCGGTCACCTCTTTTTTCATACCGGTACTTGGAAATCATCTCAATAACCATATTTCTAAAACTTCCAGCTGGGAACTCCCAAAACGCAGCACGTCCTGTTCGTTCATTAACTTTGTCGCAAACTTTCAAGCTCACCCGTCGTTGCTGGCTTTACAAAGGCAGGAGGAGTCTCAGCAAGCCTCGGTGCCTATAGCCTGGGCCAACAAAACCCCACGGCGCTTCTGGTACATCAACACGGGGGCCAGAAACCAGACCCTGCCACCCGCGCCGCCTGCCTTTGCCTTACCAACACCTCATCTCGGCGCAGTTTTCTGCTGTACGTAGTCCAGCTCTGCTCTGAAGTTCCGCGCCTGAAGTTCAAGCGGGATTAATCACGTTAAGGGCCGTCTGGGTGAAGGGACGGGCGCTAAAAGCCACGGTCTACCGTCGCTAGAAACGCTCCGCCGCGGAGGCTGTTCCCTGGGTTTGCTTTTACAGCCGCTCGGACCGCAAAGGCTCCGGAGACCAGAAGCGACAGCGGCTGGCGGGGCCCGGCGGGGGGGGCCC